ATGGGAATGGGTGAATGGGTGCATGGGTGCATGGGTGCATGGGTGCATGGGAATGGGTGAATGGGTGCATGGGTGCATGGGAATGGGTGAATGGGTGCATGGGTGTCCAAGCGTATGGGTGGGATGTGGAGAGCAGTGCGGATAAGGTGAGGTGCGGTGCATGCAACTAGGATAATAGGATAATCACGTTACCACTCGTGTGACTTCAAAGACGACTCAGACGGTGACCTGGATAAGTGCGTGGCTGACGTGTACAATCCGAGGTGTATGGATAAGGTGCGGCGTAGGCAGCCATGTCGCTGACGTGTGACTCACTGATTCGTGCAGTGATCGGGAGCACTATACTGCGTGTTTGTTGTTCCTGCCTGATTAGTGCTGCTAGAAGCGGGATAGAATCGCATGTGCCATGTTTGTGTAAGTACCATGTATGAGGCGCCTCAAAAAGCGGGATAGAATCACATGTGCCATGCTTTTGTAAGTACCAACTTCGCAAACCCTTGTGTTGTGACTCATGGCAATGGCTTGCGGCTGTGTGGGTGGTGGTGTGGTTATGGGTATGACCGTATGGGTGTGGGTGTGGGTGTGGGTGTGGGTGTGGGTGTGGGTGTGGGTGTGGGTGTGGGTGTGGGTGTGGGTGTGTGTTTGTGTTTGTGTTTGTGCGTGCCTCTGCAGTGACCTGAGCGCAAGCAACGTGACTGGTAATTTCCCAAAGCTCAAGGGCCCCTTCTCGTTTGACATTGCGGCGGTCATCTTCCTCAAGACCCTGTAAGTCCGACCGCCCACTATTGAGCTGACATTGCCGTTCTCAAAAGGAGACTGCTGAGTCGAATCAGAAGGCTCAATGGCTCGTTCTCGTTTGACATTGCGGCGGTCATCTTCCTCAAGACCGCGAGTCGGTCGTGTAAAGAAAAGGGAAAACTCTGACATAAGTTGAAGCTTGACGTTACCGATTTCACCTTTATGAAGAATCATAAGATTCATGCCAAGAGTGCACCTTTAGTGGACAAAACATGCCACTAGCGTTACCAATTTCACCTTTATGAAGACTTTGTGAGTCTGTCCACTAGAATCATGTTTTGAGTCGATTCAAATCATATGCTTCCGCGCTCACTTGTTGGCGCTACTCACCCCGCCAAAAATCATCGTCCCGTTTCGAGCATTCCTCCTTCTTCTCTTTCCACTTGTCGCTCCCCATTCCCCACTTCCCAGCAAACATTCCCTTAACCTCCCCATCCCCATCCCCCACTCCCCACTCCCGACTCTCCTCTCCACTCCCCCACTACGCGTGGTTTCCCCATATCGCCCGTCATGGCCTCGCTGGGAGCAGGAATCTAGCTGGAAACAAACTCCATGGCCCATTTGTGAGTCGCTAGGGCGGTAGCGTGGCTGCCCCAGTAGCATTGCTGCACCAGTAGCGTTGCTGCACCTGTAGCATTGCAGCACCTGTAGCGTTGCTGCAGCTGTAGTGTTGCTGCGCCTGTAGCGTTGCTGCGCCTGTAGCGTTGCTGCGCCTGTAGCGTTGCTGCAGCTGTAGCGTTGCTGCGCCTGTAGCGCTGCTGCGACTGTAGCGTTGCTGCAGCTGTAGCGTTGCTGCGCCTGTAGCGTTGCTGCGCCTGTAGCTTTGCTGCGCCTGTAGCGTTGCTGCAGCTGTAGCGTTGCTGCGCCTGTAGCGTTGCTGCGCCTGTAGCGTTGCTGCAGCTGTAGCCTTGCTGCGCCTGTAGCCTTGCTGCGTCTGTAGAGTTGCTGCGCCTGTAGCGTCGCTGTGACTGTAGCGTTGCTGCGCCTGTAGCTTTGCTGCGCCTGTAGCGTTGCTGCGCCTGTAGCGTTGCTGCGCCTGTAGCTTTGCTGCGCCTGTTGCAACCATTATTCTCGCAGCAAGTCTCTTCTCCTTATGTTCTCTGATTTCCCCCCACGCCCCTTCCTTCTCTCCTACTCTCCTTATCCCTCCCCTCCTTCCCCCTCTGTCCTCCCCTTCCCACACTCCTTGCATGGGTGCATGGGAATGGGTGAATGGGTGCATGGGTGCATGGGTGCATGGGTGCATGGGTGCATGGGTGCATGGGTGAATGGGTGCATGGGTGTATGGGTGAATGGGTGAATGGGTGCATGGGTGCATGGGTGCATGGGTGCATGGGTGCATGGGAATGGGTGAATGGGTGCATGGGTGCATGGGTGCATGGGTGCATGGGTGCATGGGTGCATGGGTGCATGGGTGCATGGGTGCATGGGTGCATGGGTGCATGGGTGCATGGGTGCATGGGTGCATGGGAATGGGTGAATGGGTGCATGGGTGCATGGGTGCATGGGTGCATGGGAATGGGTGAATGGGTGCATGGGTGCATGGGTGCATGGGTGCATGGGTGCATGGGTGCATGGGAATGGGTGAATGGGTGCATGGGTGCATGGGTGCATGGGTGCATGGGAATGGGTGAATGGGTGCATGGGTGCATGGGTGCATGGGTGCATGGGTGCATGGGTGTATGGGTGCATGGGTGCATGGGTGCATGGGTGCATGGGTGCATGGGAATGGGTGAATGGGTGCATGGGTGCATGGGTGCATGGGTGCATGGGTGCATGGGTGCATGGGTGAATGGGTGCATGGGTGTATGGGTGAATGGGTGAATGGGTGCATGGGTGCATGGGTGCATGGGTGCATGGGTGCATGGGAATGGGTGAATGGGTGCATGGGTGCATGGGTGCATGGGTGCATGGGTGCATGGGTGCATGGGTGCATGGGTGCATGGGTGCATGGGTGCATGGGTGCATGGGTGCATGGGTGCATGGGTGCATGGGAATGGGTGAATGGGTGCATGGGTGCATGGGTGCATGGGTGCATGGGTGCATGGGTGAATGGGTGCATGGGTGCATGGGTGCATGGGTGCATGGGTGCATGGGTGTATGGGTGCATGGGTGCATGGGTGCATGGGTGCATGGGTGCATGGGAATGGGTGAATGGGTGCATGGGTGCATGGGTGCATGGGTGCATGGGTGCATGGGTGCATGGGTGAATGGGTGCATGGGTGTATGGGTGAATGGGTGAATGGGTGCATGGGTGCATGGGTGCATGGGTGCATGGGTGCATGGGAATGGGTGAATGGGTGCATGGGTGCATGGGTGCATGGGTGCATGGGAATGGGTGAATGGGTGCATGGGTGCATGGGTGCATGGGTGCATGGGTGCATGGGTGTATGGGTGCATGGGTGCATGGGTGCATGGGTGCATGGGTGCATGGGAATGGGTGAATGGGTGCATGGGTGCATGGGTGCATGGGTGCATGGGTGCATGGGTGCATGGGTGAATGGGTGCATGGGTGTATGGGTGAATGGGTGAATGGGTGCATGGGTGCATGGGTGCATGGGTGCATGGGTGCATGGGAATGGGTGAATGGGTGCATGGGTGCATGGGTGCATGGGTGCATGGGTGCATGGGTGCATGGGTGCATGGGTGCATGGGTGCATGGGTGCATGGGTGCATGGGTGCATGGGTGCATGGGTGCATGGGAATGGGTGAATGGGTGCATGGGTGCATGGGTGCATGGGTGCATGGGAATGGGTGAATGGGTGCATGGGTGCATGGGTGCATGGGTGCATGGGTGCATGGGTGCATGGGAATGGGTGAATGGGTGCATGGGTGCATGGGTGCATGGGTGCATGGGAATGGGTGAATGGGTGCATGGGTGCATGGGTGCATGGGTGCATGGGTGCATGGGTGTATGGGTGCATGGGTGCATGGGTGCATGGGTGCATGGGTGCATGGGAATGGGTGAATGGGTGCATGGGTGCATGGGTGCATGGGTGCATGGGTGCATGGGTGCATGGGTGAATGGGTGCATGGGTGCATGGGTGTATGGGTGCATGGGTGCATGGGTGCATGGGTGCATGGGTGCATGGGAATGGGTGAATGGGTGCATGGGTGCATGGGTGCATGGGTGCATGGGTGCATGGGTGCATGGGTGCATGGGTGCATGGGTGCATGGGTGCATGGGTGCATGGGTGCATGGGTGCATGGGTGCATGGGAATGGGTGAATGGGTGCATGGGTGCATGGGTGCATGGGTGCATGGGAATGGGTGAATGGGTGCATGGGTGCATGGGTGCATGGGTGCATGGGTGCATGGGTGCATGGGAATGGGTGAATGGGTGCATGGGTGCATGGGTGCATGGGTGCATGGGAATGGGTGAATGGGTGCATGGGTGCATGGGTGCATGGGTGCATGGGTGCATGGGTGTATGGGTGCATGGGTGCATGGGTGCATGGGTGCATGGGTGCATGGGAATGGGTGAATGGGTGCATGGGTGCATGGGTGCATGGGTGCATGGGTGCATGGGTGCATGGGTGAATGGGTGCATGGGTGCATGGGTGCATGGGTGCATGGGTGCATGGGTGCATGGGTGCATGGGTGCATGGGTGCATGGGTGCATGGGTGCATGGGAATGGGTGAATGGGTGCATGGGTGCATGGGTGCATGGGTGCATGGGAATGGGTGAATGGGTGCATGGGTGCATGGGTGCATGGGTGCATGGGTGCATGGGTGTATGGGTGCATGGGTGCATGGGTGCATGGGTGCATGGGTGCATGGGAATGGGTGAATGGGTGCATGGGTGCATGGGTGCATGGGTGCATGGGTGCATGGGTGCATGGGTGCATGGGTGCATGGGTGCATGGGTGCATGGGAATGGGTGAATGGGTGCATGGGTGCATGGGTGCATGGGTGCATGGGTGCATGGGTGTATGGGTGCATGGGTGCATGGGTGCATGGGTGCATGGGTGCATGGGAATGGGTGAATGGGTGCATGGGTGCATGGGTGCATGGGTGCATGGGTGCATGGGTGCATGGGTGAATGGGTGCATGGGTGTATGGGAATGGGTGAATGGGTGCATGGGTGCATGGGAATGGGTGAATGGGTGCATGGGTGCATGGGTGCATGGGTGCATGGGAATGGGTGAATGGGTGCATGGGTGCATGGGAATGGGTGAATGGGTGCATGGGTGTCCAAGCGTATGGGTGGGATGTGGAGAGCAGTGCGGATAAGGTGAGGTGCGGTGCATGCAACTAGGATAATAGGATAATCACGTTACCACTCGTGTGACTTCAAAGACGACTCAGACGGTGACCTGGATAAGTGCGTGGCTGACGTGTACAATCCGAGGTGTATGGATAAGGTGCGGCGTAGGCAGCCATGTCGCTGACGTGTGACTCACTGATTCGTGCAGTGATCGGGAGCACTATACTGCGTGTTTGTTGTTCCTGCCTGATTAGTGCTGCTAGAAGCGGGATAGAATCGCATGTGCCATGTTTGTGTAAGTACCATGTATGAGGCGCCTCAAAAAGCGGGATAGAATCACATGTGCCATGCTTTTGTAAGTACCAACTTCGCAAACCCTTGTGTTGTGACTCATGGCAATGGCTTGCGGCTGTGTGGGTGGTGGTGTGGTTATGGGTATGACCGTATGGGTGTGGGTGTGGGTGTGGGTGTGGGTGTGGGTGTGGGTGTGGGTGTGGGTGTGGGTGTGGGTGTGGGTGTGGGTGTGGGTGTGGGTGTGGGTGTGGGTGTGTGTTTGTGTTTGTGTTTGTGCGTGCCTCTGCAGTGACCTGAGCGCAAGCAACGTGACTGGTAATTTCCCAAAGCTCAAGGGCCCCTTCTCGTTTGACATTGCGGCGGTCATCTTCCTCAAGACCCTGTAAGTCCGACCGCCCACTATTGAGCTGACATTGCCGTTCTCAAAAGGAGACTGCTGAGTCGAATCAGAAGGCTCAATGGCTCGTTCTCGTTTGACATTGCGGCGGTCATCTTCCTCAAGACCGCGAGTCGGTCGTGTAAAGAAAAGGGAAAACTCTGACATAAGTTGAAGCTTGACGTTACCGATTTCACCTTTATGAAGAATCATAAGATTCATGCCAAGAGTGCACCTTTAGTGGACAAAACATGCCACTAGCGTTACCAATTTCACCTTTATGAAGACTTTGTGAGTCTGTCCACTAGAATCATGTTTTGAGTCGATTCAAATCATATGCTTCCGCGCTCACTTGTTGGCGCTACTCACCCCGCCAAAAATCATCGTCCCGTTTCGAGCATTCCTCCTTCTTCTCTTTCCACTTGTCGCTCCCCATTCCCCACTTCCCAGCAAACATTCCCTTAACCTCCCCATCCCCATCCCCCACTCCCCACTCCCGACTCTCCTCTCCACTCCCCCACTACGCGTGGTTTCCCCATATCGCCCGTCATGGCCTCGCTGGGAGCAGGAATCTAGCTGGAAACAAACTCCATGGCCCATTTGTGAGTCGCTAGGGCGGTAGCGTGGCTGCCCCAGTAGCATTGCTGCACCAGTAGCGTTGCTGCACCTGTAGCATTGCAGCACCTGTAGCGTTGCTGCAGCTGTAGTGTTGCTGCGCCTGTAGCGTTGCTGCGCCTGTAGCGTTGCTGCGCCTGTAGCGTTGCTGCAGCTGTAGCGTTGCTGCGCCTGTAGCGCTGCTGCGACTGTAGCGTTGCTGCAGCTGTAGCGTTGCTGCGCCTGTAGCGTTGCTGCGCCTGTAGCTTTGCTGCGCCTGTAGCGTTGCTGCAGCTGTAGCGTTGCTGCGCCTGTAGCGTTGCTGCGCCTGTAGCGTTGCTGCAGCTGTAGCCTTGCTGCGCCTGTAGCCTTGCTGCGTCTGTAGAGTTGCTGCGCCTGTAGCGTCGCTGTGACTGTAGCGTTGCTGCGCCTGTAGCTTTGCTGCGCCTGTAGCGTTGCTGCGCCTGTAGCGTTGCTGCGCCTGTAGCTTTGCTGCGCCTGTTGCAACCATTATTCTCGCAGCAAGTCTCTTCTCCTTATGTTCTCTGATTTCCCCCCACGCCCCTTCCTTCTCTCCTACTCTCCTTATCCCTCCCCTCCTTCCCCCTCTGTCCTCCCCTTCCCACACTCCTTGCTCCCTTCCTCCTACCACTCATCCATGCGCTCCTCCCTCCCTACAACCCACCCCTTTTCTCCCTCACCAGCCCAGCGAGCTGGCGCTCTCGCCCAGCCTGGCGTCTCTCAACGTGGCCAACAACAGCCTCACAGCAACTCTCCAATCCATATGTCACCTCCTGCCTCCCCTCCTCCTCCCATTCCTCTCCGCTCTCCTCCTCGATCCACCCCTTTTTTTTTCCCCACCAGCCCAGCGAGTTGGCGCTCTCGCCCAGCCTGGCGTCTCTCAACGTGGCCAACAACAGCCTCACAGGGCGCCTGTCGGAAGATCTATGCAACCTCAACCTCACCTGCGTGTGAGTGAGTGGTGATACCGTGATGACTTTTGAGGCGCCTCAAAAGCGATTTTTGAGTCGACTCAAAAATCGCCTCATCACTGTGATGACTTTTGAGGCGCCTCAAAAGTCTACCTCACCTGCGTGTGAGTGAGTGGTGCTACCGTGATGTGATATGCTGCCCTCCTCCTGTTGCACCCACTTGTTCAACTAGTACCTCAATTCACGCCTCTTCCAACTTCCAAGTGGTGATATGCGACCAACTTCCTATACATGCACCCCTCTGTAGTAGAACTTCTCTCTTTTGGATCTACTCAAAAGCAAATTCACACCTCTTCCCCAGTGATATGCGACCGACTTCCTATACATGCACCCCTCTGTAGTAGAACTTCTCGACCCACCAGTTCTGCTTCACCCCTGCCTTCCCTCACCCCTCTTCTGCTCTCCCTCTCACAACACCCACCCGCCCCCCAATGTCTCCCTCAGCAACGTGATGGGTAACCCTCTGCATGGACCCATCCCCTCGTGCTGGAGGAACTTCACATGCCAAGAGTACGCCCTACCGTGCCGTGCCGTGCCATGCCATGCCATGCCGTGCCTTCCCATTTCGTCCCATACTGCGCCATACTACGTGCCGTGCCATACCATGCCATGAGTGCAATGAGCCCGAAACCTTCAGTCAAGGTTTCGGGTTGCACCTGCTCACTGCAATCCATACGCAGTGCATGCATGTTACTCTGTACATTCACACCCAGTGCATTCACACCTGCACTCTGTACATTCACACCCTATGCGCACCATACCAATTCCAACCCTAAAGTCTAAACTTTCTCTCTGTTTGTCCCCGCATCTCTCTTCCCCCACTCCCGTTGTCTCTCTGGCTGCAGCTTTGCCAACACCAGCCTCCCATTTTTTTTCTTTCTCTCTCTCTGTTCGTCCCTGCAATCTCTCCCCCCACCCCGTCCCCCCCCCCCCCCCCCCCCCCCCGCATCTCTCTTCCACCTCCCCCCCGTTGTCTCTCTGGCTGCAGCTTTGCCAACACCAGCCTCCTAGTCGTTCCCAACGAAACATGCCGTGATGGTGAGCTTATAACGACTTGATGTGATTATGAGCTTATGGCGAAACAAGCCGGGATGGTGAGCTTATAACAAGTCGTGTCGTGAAGGTTAATCTGCAATATGCGTATTGCGTGCTGAGACGGTACACGTACGAACTAAGCGCTACCGTACATACGCAATACGCTGATTCCCCACGCATGCTGCTGATGACGCACCTTTCTCTGCAGATAGCGGTACACCTCAAACACATATATTTTCCTCCCCCCTCCCCCTTTTTCCCCTCTCTCAACTGTCCCCCCTGTTCCCCCAGTCCCCTACCACAGCTGCAACCCGCCTCTTGCCGTGGCTGTGGCACCCCCATCCGCCTCTTCTTCTTCTGTGAACGTCGTTGCCATCATCTGTGGCGTCGTGGGGGGTGCTGCCTTCATTGCGCTGCTCGTTGCGGCGGCAATGGTGGTGATGAAGCAGATCGAGAGGAAGCGAAGGGAGGAGGAGGAGAGGCGGCTGGAGCAGGATTTGGAGAGTGAGTGGTGATGTGTGAGGGGGTGTTTGCTGTTAGGGTGTTTCTAGTGCTTCTGATTGTTGGATGCTCATGGCGTGGCAATGGTGGTGATGAAGCACATCGAGAGGAAGCGCAGGGAAGAGGAGGAGAGGCGCCTGGAGCAGGATCTGGAGAGTGAGTCATGAGGGAGGGGTGCTGAAATGGAGCGTTTTTGAAGGGTGTTAGCAGGATTATGGTGTTGGTAGCGACTTGGAATGCTCAGGAGCCCGTATAGGAGGCTTGGCCTTGTTCCTTCCATTAGTAGCAATGCTTGAAGCTGACTTCTCCACTTCCTTCCTGCCCCGTTTCTCCTGTTTGAAACAGCCCAAATCTCATCAGGCCGGTTTGGCGCACTCAGGTGGTTCCCGCAGAGGGGCACGAGAAGGCAGGCTACCGACGGGTCTGATCCCTCTTCTCCCCAAATCCTTCATCTCTTTCCACTTCCCCACTTTCTCGCTCCTTTTCCAAACAGCCCAAATCTCGTCTCGCCACTTTGGCACCCTTAGGAGGTTCACCTCAGAGGAGCTGAAGAAGGCCACCAACGAGTTTCATTTCATCATCCGCCCCCTGAATCCCTTCTTCCTGCTCCACGGACTCCCACACTTTCTCCACTGCAGCCCAAATCTCATCGCACCACTTCGGCACTCTGAGGAGGTTCACCTCAGAGGAGCTCAAGAAGGCCACCAACGGGTTTGACGAGGATTATGTGCTGGGCGAGGGGGGTTCTGTCTGATGCGCCAGCTCCCCTCATCCCCTCTCCCTCCTTCCCTCATTCTTTGTCTCCCCCTTATTCCCAACAGCCCAAATCTCATCGCGCCACTTCGGCACTCTGAGGCGCTTCACCTCAGAGGAGCTGAAGAAGGCGACTAACGAGTTTGACGAGGATTATGTGTCGGGGGGAGGGGGGTTTTGCTGCACCAGGCCAGCTCCCCTCATCGCATCTCCTCTCTTCCCCGTTTCTCTCTCTCCCGTCCTGTTCCCAACAGCCCAAATCTCATCGCGCCACTTCGGAACTCTAAGGCGGTTCACCTCAGAGGAGCTCAAGAAGGCGACTAACGAGTTTGATGAAGACTATGTGCTGGGGGAAGGCGGCTTCAGCAAGGTGTATAAGGGCAAGCTGGAGGATGGCAAGTTCGTGGCTATCAAGAGGATCAAGGTGAGGGAGAGTGGGAGGGGGTGGGGAGCGGTGATGTGCGGTGATGTGGGGTGATGAAGTGGCCGAGCTGTGGGGTTGACCTGCTGGGCGAGGGGGGGATCAGCAAGGTGTAGAAGGGTAAGCTTTAGGACAGCAAGTTCGTGGCAGGCAACTAAGTACCACCTCAGAGTCTCTAAGTTTCTCATCCCGCCACTTAAAAACTGTGAGGCTTTTATGTGGAGCGGGGCGAATTGGGTTTCATTGTTGCCCATGCTCTTCCTCTCTCTTTGCTGCTCTGTGCTCTCCCCCTCAGGAGGAGAAGAGGGCAGGTGGCGAGCTGCCGTTCCTGTCCGAAGTGGAGATGATCAGCCGGGCTGTACATCGCAACCTCATCCATGCAGAGGGATTTTGTGTGACCTTGCTTTCTTTCAACCTTGTTCTTTGCCTTCCGAACCTCTGCTGCTACCCTCAGGATGAGAAGCGTGCGGGTGGCGAGCTGCAGTTCCTGTCCGAAGTGGAGATGATCAGCCGAGCCGTGCATCGCAATCTCATCCGAGCCGAGGGATTTTGATTGAACCAACCCTTACTCTCCCTCACTCTCTTCACTCTCTACCCTTCACCTCCACCTGCAGGATGAGAAGTGCGCAGGTAGCGAGCTGCAGTTTCTGTCCGAGGTGGAGATGATTAGCCGTGCATCGCAACCTCATCCGCACGGAGGGCTTTCAACTGAAGTACCCGTTGCTCTCTTTGCTGATTTCTGTTCTCCGTTTCGTCACAGGATGAGAAGCGCGCGGGTGGTGAGCTGCAGTTCCTATCAGAGGTGGAGATGATCAGCCGGGCCGTGCACCGCAACCTCATCCGCACGGAGGGCTTTCAACTGAAGTACCCCTTGCTCTCTTTGCTGTTTTCTGTTCTCTGTTTCGTCACAGGATGAGAAGCGCGCGGGTGGTGAGCTGCAGTTCCTATCAGAGGTGGAGATGATCAGCCGGGCCGTGCACCGCAACCTCATCCGTGCGGAGGGCTTCTGTGTGGAGCGGGGCGAGTGCATGCTCGTGCTGCCCTTCTGCTCAAATGGCTCTGTTGCTTCACGCACCCAGGGTGAGAAGAGATGCGATTGAGTTAGGTTGAGTGCGGTGCAGCTGGGTGGGGAGGTGTGTCTTTGCATGGAAAGGGGGCTTCTGTGTGGAGCGGGGCGAGTGCATGCCCGTGCTGCTACCTTTCTGCTCCAACGGATCTGTTGCCTCATGCACACAGTGTGAGTGTGATGCGGTTGGGTTGGGTTGGGTTGGGTTGGGTTGGGTTGGGTTGGGTTGGGTTGGGTTGGGTTGGGTTTGGTTGGGTTCAATGCAGTGCAGCCCCATGGACTCGCAGCAGAGGGTGTGGCATCAGAAGCCTCACCTCAGCCTCCTCTGACACCGACTGGTTCTCTTGTGCTTGCTTGCTGTTCGCCAGGCAAGGAGGGTAACCCCATGGACTGGCCCACGCGCATGAAGGTGGCCCGGGGCGCCGCTGAGGGGATAGGCTATTTGCACACGGACTGCAAGCCGAAGCTGGTGCACCGCGACATCAAGGTGGGTGTCTATGTCTATCAAGGCGCATAAGTAAAGCGGAACAGCACAGAAGGCCCTGTTCCTGTTCCTGTCCCATCAATGTGCATGACGGATGCCAGGTTTAACGGATACAGCTGCCAGGAGATAGACACTGATGAGGCCCGGCTTCCTTTTACTAATTGAATGGAAAGGCGATTTGGCTATGAAAACAAGAAAGAAAGAAGAAAATCCCTCTTCTTCTTCCTTTTCTCGGAGAGCGAGAGAAATTTTCTGAAATTAAACCTTTCAAATCTCTATCAACCCACCGTCTACCCAACCTCCAGGCGGCCCAACGTGCTGCTAGATGAGAACGACGAGGCGGTGATTGCAGACTTTGGGCTCGCCAAGGAGATGGACGTGAATGGATATCCTTTCAAGATTAACTCACTCAATCTCTTTCAACCCATCCCCTACCCTTCATTCGTTTGCCAGGCAGCCAACGTTCTTCTGGATGAGAACGACGAGGCGGTGATTGCAGACTTTGGGCTCGCCAAGGAGATGGACGTGAATGAAACGCATGCGTCTGCTGTTCTTCCCCTGCTCATCTCCTGTTCGTCCCCTGCTCATCTCCTGCGCCCTAACCACCCATCCCCTACCCGCCAGGCGGCCAACGTGCTGCTGGATGAGAACGATGAGGCGGTGATTGCCGACTTTGGGCTGGCCAAGGAGATGGACGTGAATGAGACGCATGCCACCACTGCTGTCAAGGGCACCATCGGCCACATTGCCCCTGGTGCGTGCGTGCTGAGTGGGTATAGGCGTGTTTTGGATGAGTATAGGTGTGTGTTGAACGGGTATAGGTGTGCGTTGGGGTGTAATTCTAGATGAGTGCTGAGTCCCTGTGACGCCTGCCAAGGAGATGGACAAGGCAGTTATTCTGTATCCGTGAATGAGACGCACGCCACCACTGCATTCAAGGGCACCATCGGCCACATTGCCCCTGGTGCGCGCAGGATGGGTGGGTGGGTGTAGATACATGCGGTTTAGTAGCCACCCCTCCCCTCCCCACTTCTTGTACCAGCTGTTCAGCTTGAAGTTCTCAGAGACACGTCCTCTCTTTTCTAGACGCCTCACAAAAAAAAAAAACAAAAAAACAAAAAACCTCCGTTTTTTCTCCCCTCCACTCCCCCCAGAGTACTTTGTGAGCGGGCAGTGCTCGGAGAAGACGGACGTGTATGCCTTCGGGGTCTTCCTGCTGGAGCTCGTGTCGGGCAAGGACGTGTACGGGCTAACCGTTGTGCCTGAATCTGAAGAGATTCTGCTTAGGGACTGGGTGAGCTGGTCTGAGCTTATGTGCTGCTGTTATGGCTGCGCTCCGCTCTCGCTCCCCCGCTCTCCTCCTCGTCAAGCTCGTGTCGGCAAGTATGTGTACAGTGTGTGATCAGACATTCCAGCGAGTATGTGTGTCAGGCAAGTATGTGTACGGGCTCACAGTCGTTGCCGTGAGTTTTGAGGCGCCTCAAAAGGTGAGTTTTCCGTTATGAGAGGCCTCAAAAGGCGAGTTTTCCGTTTTGAGGCGCCTCAAAAGGTGAGCTTTTGAGGCGCCTCAAAACTGTTTCTCTTCGAGCTCGTGTCGGCAAGTATGTGTACAGCCTCACGGTCGTTGCCACGGCACAGGGACGGGATGAGTCAAAATGAGGAAACTGGTGAGTGGGTTCAAGAATCGGTGGGACAGGGCGAGAAGGTGTTACACTCGGCGCTGCTTTGCCTCTACATCTCCCTCAACACGTGCCTGCATATACTCCCTCCCTCTCTCCCCCTGTGCGTGCATCCTGCCTGCAGGTGTCGCTGCTGCTGGTGGAGGGGAAGGCAGATGTGCTGGTGTATGCAGAGGTGAAGAAGCCCGAGGGGGCAGTGGACATGATTCCCCTCAACATGTGCCTCTATAAAATCTCTGTCACTCCTTGGGCGTGCTTCCTTCCTGCCTGCACCCTGCTGCCTCCATCCCTTAGGTGTCGCGGCTGCTGGTGGAGGGGAAGGCAGACGTGCTGGTGGATGCAGAGGTGAAGAAGGCCGAGGGGGCAGTGGACATGGGGCAGGTGGAGAAGATACTGCAGGTGGCGCTGCTGTGCCTCAAGAACGACCCGGCTGAACGGCCCACTATGGAGGACGTGGCTAAGATGGTGGCTGGGAGTGAGCTCACGGAGAAGTGGCAACAGTGGCAGGTGAGGGGCGTGGGGCGAGGGCTGTTTGAGGTGTGTTGTGGAAAGAGCTTGCTGTGTGCGAGGGATGGGGAGGAATGACTTGGCTGAATGGCCCACGAAGGAGGATGTGGCAAGATGGTGGCTGGGAGTGAACTCACAAAGAAGTGGTAGCAGTGGCAGGTACGTGGGCATAGTAACTACGTTCAGCCACTTGCATGCACTCAATGCCTTGAAAGGTGAATGTGACGTGTTTCATTGGTGCTTGGCTCATGAGTTCCCTTTTTGAAGTGAACTCCATATTTCTTTCTGCCGCTCCTGAACTCCGAATAATCTGCATCACATTGTTGTTTTCCAGGCTGAAGCTGGGGCCATGCGAGCAGAGGACCTCATGGCTGTTGTCAAGAACCCTTCGCTCTGGGAGAACACGACAACTGGAATTTCGCTCAAAGCCTTCAATGTTACTGGGCCCCGTTGAGAGTTCCTCCTTTTCTAGTGGGTGTCTGAGGGAGCTAATTTTTGTAGGTTCTAGTATGAAAGGGCATTTTGTTGTGTCTGCATTACCGTACCTTTGTCTGCGAAGCAGTAGGCTTTCAAGAGTATCTAATGCAAGAGTAAGATGATAAGCTAATCATATCACTTATCGTTTTTCTTTTCTGATGAAGTTGAGGGGGTTCTGTACGTTTTCAAACGGTTTTAGCCAAACATCTCTTTAGGGATATTTTTGGCAGCTGACGTGGACTGTACCCCAGTACACGGCCTTTATCGGCTCCTCGAACTCGGACATCCGACTCAGCAGTGCATTCCACCCCCGAGCCGGGTCGCGCTAGCCACCTGGTGTAGAAACGAAGGTGTCGCACGCGCGGTGAGTTTGGTGGGATTGCTCACTCACCCATCCCTGACGTGCCCCTTCTCTGTCCTCCAAACCACACCCAATTTCCGAACCAAACTGCTGTGGAAAGGCAATTTCCGCTCGGTCAGCGCAATTATTCGCCCTCGGTCAGCCTGGATAGCAGCAATGTCTGCCTCTATTGGTTCAATTGACCTGCTCCTTCGAAAATAATTTATTTTCACTAGTGGCTCGTCCCTCCTCATCAGTTGCCGTCGCCGACACAACATTTTGCCAGATAGGCGCAGGCCCCCAGCGCAGACAGGCACTCCGCTCAACTCTCGCGCTGCTGCTGTGCTGTGTGTCTGTCATCCATGCAAGCAGCGCGGAGGCCCTTCCGCCAGTCGCCCTATTTACCCCGCCTGCCCGCAATCTCCCCAAAACCAAGGTTCCAGCCCAGGGCAAAAAGCTGCGGTCACCAAGGCTCCAACGAAGCTGCGGTTTGGTGGGATCAGCTTCTTCCTCTTTGACCTTGATTCTCCCTCCTGACGCAAGATAGCGCCATGGCCGATGTGATGTGCTGCTGATTGCTGCGTTCTTACAAACCCGATGGCTGCTTTTGCTGATTGATTTCATCTCCAGGGTCTCGCGAGGCTGGAATCATTGCCTGCAACGAACGTGTTCGGGTTGTTTAGCGCAGATCACGCGTTGGTCGTAGTCAACAGCCCGCTGGCTGAGCCAACCTAGAAATATCAACGAGTCCGAGGCCTCGTTCTGCCTTATCAGAGCCAGGTTTTGCCTAACGTTTAGTAACAGCTATGGAAGAAGCTACTGAATCGTGTGTCCCGCACCATGACGAGAGTTGCTGCTCGCACAGCAACATGTGGGATCGCGTGAAGAAGCGGTATAAACTCTGTGATTTTAGTGCCCTTCCTGAGTACCTTCGAGACAACGAGTACATTCATGGATATTACCGCGCAAACTGGCCTCTCAAACACACGCTATGGAGCATCTTTCATATTCATAACGAGACCGGAAATATCTGGACGTAAGTCATAGCCGACCGTCGCTATGTTTCTCGTTTCTCGTGTGCTACAATAGTGTAGAGAGTTTCGCGCGTGATAATATCCGTTTTTTCATCCTCGACTTCGGAGTGCTGAGTTTCAGGGAGATCTTGTGCTAACTAGCTCTCGCTGTTTGCTTGCAGGCATCTTATAGGATTCATCCTGTTCCTGAACCTGACCATCTACACAGCCCAGAAGTTCCCAAAGGTGGTGGAGATCCCACTGTCCCACCTCCATTTTCCTGAATCCTGGGTCAACGCCACTGACAGCATCCATGCACATCTGCAGAACATGGAACTTCCTGATTTCCGTCCCATCAGGGACGCGCTTACCTCCATGGAGTTTCCGAATCTTCATGTGATGTACAACTCCCTCCCACATGTAGAGCTCTCTGGAATTTCAGGAATATCGACTTCCATTTACGAGGCCATGCCGCACGTTCCTAACATGCACGAGATGCAGAGCATGCTCTCAGCAGTCATGAAGTCGAAGCTTCCAGACCTGGACACCACGAAGCTTCAGGCGATGCTTCCTCACTTAGAGCTCCCAAAGCTGCAGCAGGTTCAGGCTGCTCTGCTGTGGTACTACGGCTGTGTCCATCGCTACGCCAGCACGGCACTGGAATCCACGCCAGCCTTGCCCACCAGTCCGCTGTGGAATGATCAAAGCGTCTTCGGGAACTGCGCAAGTGTTTGCTCCCTTGTGACCATTCTGTGTGACCCGATGTCTCATAGTTGTGCATTCCTGTTGACCAGTTGGTTCTGAAAATATCATTCGTCTTCCGCGTTTTTTTTTCACGTCATCTCTGTTCCAATGGCTAGTCTTTTCCTCCGTTCTGCATCCTTCGTATCCCAAAGTTGCCCCAGACATGCTTCTGAGCCATCTGTGTTTGCTTCCTTTCCCTGCTCTCTCTTAACAACTCTTCCCTACTCCCTGCCTCCCCGCCCCCCCTTTCCCTTTCCTCCCCCTCTCCCCCCCTCCCCTCCCCCCCACACTCTTCCACCCCCCCCCCCTCCCGGATCCGCTTAACCCTTTCGCAGTCACTTTCAGACAGCCCTTCGTTTTTACTAAGATCAGTGAAGACTGAGCGCAAGATTGCCATGTGGCCGTTCTTCGTCTTCCTAACTGGCGCCATGATCTGCCTGCTCTCCAGCAGCACCTGCCACCTTCTGGGCTGCCACTCCAAGAAGGTCTCTCAAATTATCTGGCGATTCGACTACGCCGGGATCGCCATCCTCATCTGCGCGTCCTTCTACCCGCCCGTCTACTACGGCTTCCTCTGCCAACCATACGCCCAGCTGGCCTACCTCGTCCCAATCACTATTGCTGGTTTGGGAACTGTAGCTGTCTCTCTTGTCCCCGCCTTTCAGAAACCTAAATACCGAGCCTTTCGTGCAGGGCTGTTCTTTGGACTGGGAGTCTCCGGTGTGATTCCGTTTTTCCATGGCATGCTGCTCTACTGGGATGAACCGTTTTTGGTGACAACAATACTGTACGAGCTGCTTATGGGGGTGCTGTACGGCATCGGAGCTCTCTTTTATGCCACCAGGATCCCCGAGCGATGGCTGCCTGGGAAGTTTGACATAGCGGGGCACAGCCATCAGATTTTCCATGTTCTTGTTATTGCTGCAGCGTACACGCACTATCAGGCTGGCTTAAGATACCTGCAGTGGGTGGATGGTCGCACGTGCTGAAGTGTGCTTGCAGGGACTATAAGGTTCGCTGTACCCTACCATGTGCTCAAGAGGTGCCTGCACGCAGTTGGACTGGCCAGGTAGTTGTGGTTACTTGTGATCTTGCCTTACAGCATAACGCTCGGATGAAGAGTGCTACTGATGGGGTGCATTTGGGGGTGTTTGGTTACATACATTGTTCTTGCTGCCATTGTCCTGCCTGTGGGCCGTTTCCACGTTTTGCAGGGCTGTGCTGCTCCCGGTGTAGTGTTCTTGGGACCTCCCTTCTTGCAAGGGGTGACAAACTAAGAACTGTGATATTGCATGGTTGGGGAGTTCATACTGACCTGTACATACCGTATTACCCCGGATATAGGCGCATATGCGCCTATGATAAAATCATTTTTTTTAGGGGTGGCGCTTGTAATTGAATAACGGCCATAAGCGCCGGCGCTTATATCATGGCAAAAATGAATTTGTTATTTTTATGTACCAAATCGAAGCCCGCAATAAGGCGAACACAATTGAGTAACGTGCGCGTGGGATAATGCATGTAATCCCGCCGAAAACTGCTGCGCTTCGATTCCCGACCGCACAAATCCCGTCCACGAGCAGCGCACCTGCCAGCGCTGACGTGAAAGTTGCCTTGCGGCCCAATCAGGCTTTCATGCGCTGGCAGGCAGCTGCATTTCACCCGAACCATCGAGAAGGGGCTGGAATGCCCTGCCAGCGCAGCATCTTCGTGCCGCGATAACCTCCTCTTCGGGTTCAAACAGGGGGTACCCGTCTCTCCCCGACGAGGACCCCGAGGCGCTAACCAGAAGGGGTCCCTTTGAATCTCTCATTTGTTCTCCATCTCTCTCAGTTTCTCGTTCGGGTTCTTGGTAGTTCTCGCCTGGCTGCCGCCGCCATGGCGGAATTCAGCGGCACCCACTTCTTGTTCAAGAAAAAGCCTACGCGAAGGCCCGCGTTTAGAGTAGACGTTGACGGGTGGTACTCCCGTATCCCACCAGAACCACCAGAGCCACCACGGCCTCCTGCGCCTCCTGCGCCTCCTGCTCCTCCTTCGCCTCCTGCACCTCCTGCGCCTCCTGTTCCTCCTGCTCCTCCGCCTCTGGGTCCTGTGTCTCCGCAACTCACTGGCAATCAGCCCGTGCTCACGATACTGCTCCCATCGGCGTTCGACGAATACCTCTCCGAACCGGAGTCTAACAAGGCGCAAGATGAGTACGTGGAAGTGGAACACTTTCCTGGAGGACGTTGGGGACAGCCCGACGATTGCCCTTGAGACGAATCTGCGGTCGGCGCCGACGATGATGTTGCTGACGCAAAGGAAGCGAGCGGCGCTGACGGCGTCGAGGGTGGCACGGAGGCTTCCGCCGGGGGCGGCGCCCAGGGCGGCACCGCTGACGATGTGTTTCCAGAAGGTGTTACGGGCGACGCTGACGACGACGGCGTTGAGTACTGGTCACGCGACGGGCTATCCGAGAAACTGCCCATACCAACCTATCCTCCGAATAATCGCAAGCGACCCCA